ATTTCGTTTGGATTGTTTAAGAATGACTATATAAATATTTACATGCCTAGAAATGTATAAAAATTGGCATATTTATTAACTTTGAACCCTCATAACTTTTTATGGGGGTGAGACCGCCACGAAATTTTTATGGTACAGTGGTTGGGAAGACCTCCTCTTTCGATACCCCCCACCCATCTACACCTTTACCCCGTAGAGTCCTCTGTTCATCTATTCTTACTAACACCTCTTGATTTATAACCTTTTCTATCCACGGTATCCTTATCATTCGCCTATAACGTCACATTTCAAACGTCTCTAACGCCGCACCCACCGTCCATGTTTTGCACCCGTAGAGCGCCGCACTCCAAACTATTATTGCAACAGACCTCTGCTTCAACCGCTTCCGCAATTAGGGAAGTTTCGCATTCATTTTCACATCCGCTTCTGCATCTAGTTCCGCATTTTTATAATGGAAGTTTATCGAAACTTAATAAAAATTCTTATTTCTTATGTTTTTAAAAATCGATATATCGGAACAATAAAACAAGTTGTAAAAATTTATTACTTCTATCTGTTGACTGAACTTGACCTTTTTCAAAACACAATTTAAATGGAATTGGTCGTTGTAAAGCTGCATGTCGGGAAGATAACTGTGAACATATTATCAACCTTTATGTTTATGATGTGTTAGCGTCATCGTTGGCAAAATTTTTTTAATAATAATATTGTCTTTGTGCAAATAATTTTATTATTATTTATTAAATCTATTTCCTACTATTTCGTATGTTGATATTTTCAAAATTTTATTCTCTTATTGGTTTCCTATTTTAATCTAAAAACGTCCAGGACTTTCAGCTCCCCCTTAGCAATTCTAATAATTTCACTTCCAAAATACTAACACAGTTATAGCGTTTATTTATTTTCTTATAGTGTCTGCTCAGTGGTGTAAATTTTGAAATAAAAGTGCAATCTCCTCACTTACAAATGCTAAAAATTGGATCTCAGGATTGGATACACAAATGCATTTAATTAAAGCCTGTTGCAGTTTTTTTGGTTACATATGCCTAACCGGACATGTTTTTTCTGGGTTTCACTATATGTTATTTGTACTAAATTTTGAACGTTATTCAATAAAATAAGTAATTTTCTATAGCTTACAGATTTAGTTACTTATATTGCTGACACTGAAATATTGTCTATAATCAATTTCGTAGTTTACTAGATCTGATAGTAAAGTTTTCAGAAGAAAACAATGACATAAGACATTAACTGTAACTTGCTTTTCTTGATACCCAGTAAGTGCTATGAATGAAATTGTATAATGACCATAATAGAATGAAGATTCGGGCTATAGGGCCGTGGTCTAAGTGAACTATTCCGTCCAGACGTTTCGTCAGCTACTGCGGCTGACATCCTCAGTGGTAGTGCTGCGTTGACAACGTGAACGTAGATTATATCTGGGTTGCGTCCCAGTCGCTGTCGAGACTTAGAGATATAATCTACGTTCACGTTGTCAACTTTATTCTTCTATTGTATAATGACCTTTCCTCTTTCTAATGGAGTTTTTTTTTTTTTCGTTTTCTTCAAAATATACATGTCACAAACATCACTTTTTTCCTATATCTACCTTTATTAAATGTTTGCAAATATTTGTGCAATTTAGGGGGAGATTTTTTATCATAAATCCAAATGGATGACCTTTTATAATCCTAACTACTATAATATTATAAATGCCTATCTGAATTTGCTTGTTTGTTTATTACCATTTCATTCTTCAACTGCTCAATCGATCTTCATGAAATTTTGTACACATATTGTCAGGACTACAGAAAAAGATATAGGGTACCTTTTATCCAGAAAAAAAAACTACTGTTCCAGAGGGATAGAAAATTTTTTTTTCATCTCGATAAACAGTATTTACTGTCATTCTAAGCAAAGCGTACTATGTTTAATCTAGAAATTTAAAAACTTTAACTTTATCCTAATGGTCCTTCCTCAGAAGTATTTATCAAATTATTGTATTCTCGATGATTTGAGAATTATCTCTGGATCATCCCTTAGTTAGCTACATTTACTCTATTTCACTCTAGCCATGACAACAATAGCAGCCGTGTCCACTCATTTCGTATGGACTTCCCCTGCAGTCCCACAACTTACATCTGCAAACTCACCTATAGGCGTTACATTAAATTCGGTAAGTCTTAAATTTGAAAGTATCCATTAAAATTAATTAAGATTCGTTGTCTTTTGTTTCTTTATTATTATTATTTCATTTACAGACCGAAACATCTCTGATAGCTTCCCTATTATTTGTAGGGGTAGGATTAGGTAGTATGTTTGCAAGTTACCCTATAGAATACATAGGAAGAAAGAAAACTCTTGTTGTATCGATGGTGCCTGTAACTATTAGTGCAATTGTTATATTATGCGCTAATTCAGCTGGCTGGCTGTATGCTGCTAGAATCATAGCAGGAACTTCTTCCGGTTTATGCTTGAGTGTAAGTAGCAATAATGACAATTTTCTCTTAATATGTATTTAATTAAAAAGCTTTTGAGAATGTTAAATGGAACAAGATATTAAATATACTTAAAAATGTAGGAATGAGTTACAAAGATAGAAGAGTGATACTTAGTTTGTATAAAGATTAACAGGCAGTTATAGAGCTGGGTCTGCAACGCGGAGTAGATTTTAGGAAGGGAGTCAGACAGGGATGCACACTGTCATCGCTACTTTTTGATCTATACATCAAAGACGCGATCAACATCATTAAAGACAGTACAACTGAAGGGACAGATATAGAGGGGCAAAAGTTTAGTATGCTTAGATTTGCAGATGATATAGCAGTATTATCATCTAGCAAGGAGTAGTTAGAGGTAGCTTTAAATGAAATGGAAGCAGTATTGACAAAACAGTACTATATGAAAATAAATAAAAGTAAAACAAAAATACTGGTATGCAAGGGAAGGAAAAGCAGAGAAAGAGCGAATATAAAGATAGGAGACGAAAAATTAGAAGAAGTGGCCAATTTTAGGTATCTAGGAAGTCAGATAAATCAGGGCGGTAGAAGTAGTAGGAATATAAAGCAGAGGATAGCACAGGGTTGAGTCGCCTTCAATAAAAAGAAGTCACTTCTATGCTCGTGAACGGTTAATTTAGAAATTCAAAAAAGATTGTTAAAGGTGTATGTTTGGAGTATGGCGGTGTACGGGTGCAAAACATGGACGGTGGGCGCGGCGGAAAAGAAAAAGTGTTCGAAATGTGGTATTTGATGAGGATACCATTGATAGAGAAGGTCACAAATGAAGAGTATTAGAAATTATAGGAGAACAGAGGATTATGGAAGTCAAAAAAAAAATAGGTGAGATAGGTTGGTAAGACTGACTCCTTCTCAGGCATGAAGGTCTAGTCCAGGGATCTAACGGAGGTATAGAACAAACAGAATAGCTCAAAACTCCAACGCCAAAACACGACACTGTAATTGTCCGAAGTAAACTCTTCAGTTCCTGAAGAAGGTAACTTTGTTACCGAAAAGTGCTTCGGACAATTACAGTGTCGTGTTTTGACGTTGGGGTTTTGAGCTGTTCTGTTTGTTCTACAACGACCGCCAAAGTTTTTCCAGTCTTCATATGTAACGGAGGTAGTTTTATCGGAACCGAACGCGGAGTCGGAGTTTTTAAATTTGCTTTATCGGAGTCGGAGGCAGGGTCAGAAGTGGTGGCATGAGAGAGAATTTTTATTTAAGGACAAATAAAAGATTGTTTAGTCAAATTTTTTTCATTTCAATTTTCGGGGGATTGAATCATACTATGAACCTGTTCATAACAGTCGACACAGGCCGCCGCTATGTTATGCTTCGACCTCCGATTAAAACCTTCGATTTAAAAGTGTCGGAGCCGAAGTCGGAACCGAAGGTGTAATAATAATCGGAAGTTCCGACTTAACGGAACCGGAGTCGAAGCTTCGTAACATCCCTGGTCTAGTCAGAGACATATTAGAAGCAGAAACAGGAGTCAGGACGAGTAGAGGTAGACCTAGATTGGATTACTGTTCACAAATAGTTAAGGATGTGGGATGTTCTAGTTTTAAGGAAATGCGAAGATTAGCTCAAGATAGGAAAGAGTGGAGGATGTTGATGTATTTAATTATGACAGTATATTACCATTTACTGTTCACTGAAATGTTACGACTCATTTCCTTCGATTTCGCAAAAACACATTTTCGTCAAAACGAGTTTTGTACGTCCAGAAGTTGATTAAAAAGGAAATGAAATGATAAATCATAAACCTAAACAAATACATTATCCTTTTATTTTTTTTATTGGATAATTGTTTCAGAATAACTCTTTATCCTTCTAAAATTTATAGGTTGGACCTATTTACAACGCTGAAATATCTGAAAGCGATATTCGCGGTCGTATTTCAAATTTCCTGACAATTATGTCAATGGTGGGAAATCTTTATGGATACTCCGTGGGTCCGTTTGTTTCGTACACAACTTTTGCGATTACATTAATTATAATTCCCGTCGTTTGTCTCTTTATATGTTTGTTTATACCGGAATCTCCCTACTACCTTGTCAAAACGGGTAAGAAGGATGAAGCAAGAGCGGTATTGAAAAAGTTAAGCAGCGACTGCTCCTCTGAAGAATTTATAGATGGGCGACTTGCTGATATAACCCAATCTGTTAAAGTCGACATGCAAAACAAATCCTCGTTTAAAGAACTGTTTAAGCCAGATTATAGAAAACAACTCGTGATGACAGTGAGTAAGTAATTATTGTTTTTAATTTGATTACATTTTTGAACGTAACTAACTTTGAGTTACAGCGAATGATATTTAAATTTTTGTGACTTCTTTAATTGGCAGTTAAATACTTTATCTAATCAAGAATTATATGACTCATTGTTTACCTGAAAAGTTCATGTTTTGTATGACACAATACGCGCTCAAACATTTTCTAATAACTGTTAAGCTTTCGATTTTTATGCTAGGATTCTACTATGATGTTTGTAAACAATAATAAATATTATAACGAAATACGAGGGCGGTTCAATAAGTACCCGTGTAAGAAATGAACACTTCTTTTTTTTAATTTCTTTTTTTATTTTTCAACATAGTCCCCTTTTAGAAAGATACCCTTCTCCCAACGTCCCTACCATTTTTTTTACCTCTCCAAAAAATAAGATTTGTCGAACTCTCCAAAATCCCCTCTGTCTCGGCGATGACTTCCTCGTTTGAGCTAAATTTCTTTTTCGCGAGTCATTTCTTCATGGTAGGAACAAGACGAAGTCGCAGGGAGTCAAATCGAGTGAGTACGGGGTGTGCGGCAGCAGTTAATAATAACGTAATTCATGCAGTTTGGCGGCAACAACTCCTGATGAATGTGCCGGTGCGTTGTCGTGTTGAAAACGCACCTTTTTTTTCATCAAATGCGTCCGTGTCTCCTTCAAGCGGTCCAATAACTCACTGTACTATTGTCCAGTGATCGTTCTTCCTTTTCCTAAAAAATCCGTAAAATGATTTCCTCGGTAACAACGTTTGCCAGGCTTCCTGGTCGCTCCTATCAAAAACGGACCTTTGCCCACGTTTAAATTCGTTGAAGCAATATCTAACTGTGGTCCTAGATGGCGAAATGTCTCCATAAACAGTATCCAAGTTTGTTTTCATCTCCTCGCATTTCTTCCCATCCAAAAACCAAAAGCGAGTTACCAAACGATACTGCTCTTTTTCCATCTTAGCGAAAATAACGAAGCACGTCCCAGTAGAATGGCTGCCAAATCCAAACTAACTTATCAATCAGTCTGAAATTCGTTTTGGTATGGTTTGATAGATGGCAGCATACGATGACAACACCAATTTCCCTCAGGAGCGTCCTATGTCTTCAAACACGGTACTTATTGAACCTCCCTCGTATAGTCCAATTTTGTATTAATTTTTTTTTTTATTTTGGGCAAGCTACTTATGTGTCACATTAAGGAAGTTATTCAATCGAGTTTCAACTATATTCCAAGTTTTCTTCGTAGATATTACACAATTGTGCCACCTGCAATTGATAATATTGTTCCCTCTCGCATATCTATTAAAATATAGTTAATATATTGATTGAATAGTGAGGGATCCAACATGGTCCCTTTTAAACGGCATTATATTTTTTAGTAATAAGGATGCTAATGTATTCATCAGGAGCATATTGTGTTTTTTCATTCCTTCAAACAATCATGGATCTAAGCGGTAGCAGTATACCATCCAATTACGCCAGTATAGGGTTTGGTGCCCTAAACATACTAGCAGGTAAATCACTATTACATTTTTGTTTTCAAGAAATATTTAAAAAATGTGAATTTATACATTCTTCAATTCAAAACATTTTCCTCTACTTATTAATTTGAATTATAATTTCCTACTTAAAATAAATATAGGTACTTATTTTCTCTTTTTAAGTACCTTTTTCCTATACCATAATTTTTGAAAGTAGATGGATAATTTTAAGCCTACTTTGTATATTGCAATATTATCACATGATACGTATGCACCCCTATAGAAAAAATTACGTAGTTTGAATTGAAATATGTTTTCTGTTTCTAATACATGATAAAATGCAAAGCTTTGTCAGATAAATAAAAAATAATTAGCAACCATTGAATAATTTGCATTCAACATTTCCTTTTTCAGGAATAGTATCAGGCCAGGTAGTAGACAGACTTGGTAGAAAACCATTATTCGTAATTTGCTGTTTGGTATCTGCAATTTCACTGTTTGTCGAAGGTCTATACTTTTATCTCTACCAAGCTACTGATTTTGATGTTTCGTCCCTTTATTGGTTACCCCTAACAGCGCTATTAGTTTATGAATTGTTTGTCGTGGTAGGACTTCTCGGTCTACCGTTCATAATAGTAGGAGAAGTATTTCCTTTAAATGTAAAAGGAAGAGCACTGTCTTTGAACACATTCCTGGGTGCTCCATTGGGAGTTTTAGCCATTATGACGTTTCAACCCATGTCTGAATATTGGGGCAGCTATGTACCATTCTGGATCTACGGTTGTTGTTGTATAATAGGTTTTCTATATGGCATATTTTATTTACCAGAAACCAAAGGAAAATCTTTAGCAGAAATACAGAAACAATTTCAATAAATGATACGAATACATATTTATACAATACATATCTTTTAATAAATTACATTTTTTAATTTTGGTTTTTCATTGGTCTTTTTCTCATTTTGTATTTTTGTACAGATGCGTTCGATGATAATAAAGAATGATCCAATAGATGAAGTATTTTCGTTATTGCTGTTTCAAGTAAACAAAATGTATGATAAAGCGTAAAATTTTAAACGAAAGGTTTTATTATTATTTTATCATTTATTATATTACGGTCTTAACAATAATGATATCTCAATATCTAATCTCAATGTCTTAGAGCTATATTAACCTATCTATTCTGCCCTTCCCCTCAACATTCTTTTTTTGTTTCAGCCTCTTTCACATCTCTACAAATTAAAAGGACCACACTAATTTATAGGATTCTTCCCAAGTTCTACGATATTTATATCATCCTAATAATTGCTATAAGTATTCTACATCCCTATCACATATACTACACTGTCTGTCTTCTTCCTTTTCACAATATTTACATCATCTACACTTATTCCTTGTCCTAAATTTTGCTATTAACCCCTTCTTAATAACTTGGTGCCCAAAACCCTTGCGAGTCCCTCCACATTATTTCTCCTACATTTGTCATTTCCGTGATCCACTTCCTCACTTCTTCTTGATTGATCTGATATCACATCTACTTCTTGCCCCTATTTCTAAAACCTTCGTCCACTATATCTCATTCCTGATATCACCTTCTTTCAGCTTCCCCAACCTATCCTAATATTTTACTGTCTTTTATCGCTTCTTCCCACATCTTCCCACATTTGGTCTCCCTTCATATTACGTAATTTGGCGTACCTCTCTCTCACTATAATACTTATTTGATATATCTTTTATATAAAACTTCTCTCTGCTTTTTTCCACCATCCCCATTCATCCACCCCATAGAATACTATACTCTTAAATAAGCATAATTCATCATCTATTTATCTCCCTCCCTTCCATACGAAAGGGTTTGTTTGTAATTATTAATTTATTAAACGATAAATTAAAAATAAAAAGAGTAGTACCCTACTACTAAAATTTAAATTTATGCCTAGCTAATACGTAATAAATAACGTGCTGCCATCATTTAAGCATAACATGAATTACAATGCTACAGCGTTCAAGTGTGAAGTGTAGGTCGTCCCGAATTTGAAAAAGAATAAATTTCAAATATTTACACACTTCTTATTGCTTATTCTCTCAAAAAGAGAAGTGCACATTTTGGAAATTTCAAATATTATTTCAAGACATTTTTATAATTATTGATTTATTGCATGTATTTCACTCGGACCAAGTTATGGGAATCCCCTAGTAGTTCAAATCACAACAGTAATAATAAAAAGCTTGCAAGTACTAANTGCAAAGCTTTGTCAGATAAATAAAAAATAATTAGCAACCATTGAATAATTTGCATTCAACATTTCCTTTTTCAGGAATAGTATCAGGCCAGGTAGTAGACAGACTTGGTAGAAAACCATTATTCGTAATTTGCTGTTTGGTATCTGCAATTTCACTGTTTGTCGAAGGTCTATACTTTTATCTCTACCAAGCTACTGATTTTGATGTTTCGTCCCTTTATTGGTTACCCCTAACAGCGCTATTAGTTTATGAATTGTTTGTCGTGGTAGGACTTCTCGGTCTACCGTTCATAATAGTAGGAGAAGTATTTCCTTTAAATGTAAAAGGAAGAGCACTGTCTTTGAACACATTCCTGGGTGCTCCATTGGGAGTTTTAGCCATTATGACGTTTCAACCCATGTCTGAATATTGGGGCAGCTATGTACCATTCTGGATCTACGGTTGTTGTTGTATAATAGGTTTTCTATATGGCATATTTTATTTACCAGAAACCAAAGGAAAATCTTTAGCAGAAATACAGAAACAATTTCAATAAATGATACGAATACATATTTATACAATACATGCTTCGACCTCCGATTAAAACCTTCGATTTAAAAGTGTCGGAGCCGAAGTCGGAACCGAAGGTGTAATAATAATCGGAAGTTCCGACTTAACGGAACCGGAGTCGAAGCTCCGTAACATCCCTGGTCTAGTCAGAGACATATTAGAAGCAGAAACAGGAGTCAGTAGGGGTAGAGGCAGATCTAATTACTGTTAAGGATGCTCTAATTTTAATGAAATGAGAAGATTGGCTCAGCGTAGGAAAGAGTGTACGTGCGACGACCCNATAAAGATATTTAAATAATGTTTTATATAACTTTCTCAATATTTTTATGTATTTTTCATTAGTTTTACCTTTGAATATTGTTTAAGAATGACTATAAATATTTACATGCCTAGAAATGTATAAAAATTGACATATTTATTAACTTTGAACCCCCATAACTTTGTATGGGGGTGAAACCGCTACGAACTTTTTATGGTACAGTGGTGGGGAAGACCTCCTCTTTCGGTTCCCCCCACTCCCACCCCCTTCGCGGGTGGGGGCCATCATCTAGACCTTTACCAAAATAATAAACTTACCATATTAACATTAATCCACAAGTCCATGGTTTGAAATGTACCAATGGTTTTTCCCTATGTTCGTAAAATGAAAATAGCATTATTTGATGAGCAAATATTTCAATCACTTCTTGATTGAAATTTACCAATATACAATAATGTAATAGTATATGTCACCGCTAATTTTTATGCTATCGAAGATGTCATTAATATTATCAAAAACAGGATGGCATTCGGGATAGAAGTGTATGTTTAATTTTTTTTTTTAATGATAAAAGTCGTAACTGATTGTGTCATCAATTCAAATTTTTATTGTTTGTTGAGTACATCATCACTTTAAATAAATCTTGAAATTATCTCACAATTTCATTGATAATTTCGTATAAAAATTTAAATATTTTCTTCTTTCAATCGCATATTATTTAATGCATACACAATAACGTAATACATATTGCTACTTGTTTAAAAAATGCAAATGTTCTATTTTCGACTTTTCTATTTTTTGCGCGCTCTCAAAAAGAAGTATTATGGGCACATTAGCTGTTGCGTCTGCACCTCCTGCAGCGTCTAAACTGCTCATCCATGAACCTTGGGTTTATTTTTGAATGGAAAGAAACTACGGAAATTAATTGTTAAGCCACTGCTTCATGGATGATTTAATTAGCGTCTAGGGAAAAAAGTACCTATATCACAATATCCTTTGTAATTACCGCTTGTGCAGCTTTGTCATCATTCTTTACTAATTGTTTAGCAATTTTCTGTTTGTATAGGTACTCTGTTAGAGTATAAAATAGCAAAAGAAAAAAATTAAATAATTTATTAACAAATGACGTTCTTTTTTAACATTATCTATTAATAAATGCCCGGCAAGTTAAGAAAATTGTGGAGCCGATGATGGTTCTGAATCATTGTAATGCTATGTTAAGTGGTGCACCAGTTGTAAATAAACAAACATTACATTCTGATCTGGAATGTAATTACACTAAATTAAGTTGTCTTACATATTCACTTTTTAATTTTGGTTGATATTTATCAAAATCTGAACGACTACAATTATGATTATTTATGATTTCCATATTATACATCTCCTCATCAGTTTTCAATTTTTCACTGTTTTCATTTTCAGATTTTCCCTTATCAAGAAATTCTAATTTTTTTAAATTATTTACGGGATTCTTTTTAGGTGAAATTATTGACATCAGAACATCATAATTTTCATTACTTTGACTTTCTTCAAGGCTTTTCTCAAACTCATCAACAGACTGATTAAGCATTATACACAAATCTAATTGTGATTGACTTTTTTTATTTTCGTTGATAGAACATTGGTTTTTTTCCTTTGATTTTTCTGTTTTCAATAAAGACAAAAGAATAGAATTTTCTTCATCAGATTGTGAACCTTCTGGTGAAGAAGAGTTGCCTAATAATGGAAGATTTCTCTTTCTTTTTACTTTTTGACTTTGAAGGGTGTTTGATGAGAATTTAGGGCTCTCATGGGAACATATGATGTTCTCATTTTCATTATGTGGTTGATTTGAAAACTTTTTTTCACTATTTGAATCAGAATTATAATCAGGACTACAATTACTTGCTACCAAATTGTTTATGCCTCTGGCTTTTCTAAAATTTATTTCATTGTCATCTTTTCTCTTTATGTATTTTCCAGATTTACCTTTAACATGCTTATTAGGTGTTACTTTTCTCTTTTTCCTCCTAATATTAGTTTTTTTGCCTAAAGTCTCTACAACATCATTGGAACTATCTGAAGATGTAAATGGAGCTTTTTGCATCTCTTTTTGTTCTGTTTTAGTTTGTGTTTTCTTGTATTTTCTTTTCTTTGGAATGTTTTCATGCATTGATAAATTTATCTCAACTTTTTCCTGTTTTGCCCACAATTTTATTCGTTCAACATATTCCTAAAAAATAATGAAAATAAAATCTGAGTAACAAATTAAATGATTTCAAAAGTTTTTTCTAATGAGCACAGCAAAAAGGAAACATTAAACTAATAAAAAATATAAAACACTTGTTTATATCTTTTAAACAAATATTGTCAATATCTTATACATAAGAACCTTTTTTTCTTCAACTGTGGGTCTTGTAAAAGTGTCGCAAAAGTTCCATGTTAATCGATGCCAATACTTTTCATAAGGCCAGCGAAAATTTTGCAAATGCTCAATATTATCCCTGTAAAAACCATTTTTCATTTTAAAATCAATTAAATAAGTTGGTACTTATGAAGAAATAAATAATGTATGATATTTACAAATAATTAATTAAACTTACTTGCAGAATTGGGAAAACTTCCCTAATACACCAGGGTTAGTCCAATTTATCATTTCAAAGAATACCTTCTGATTAGGTTCTTTCTATAACATAAAAAGTTTAAAAATATCTAGTTCTACATTAAATAATCAAATAAATTACTATAAAGTTGTGTGTTGTTAATCCAATGTGAAAGTCTCCCCGTAATTGTTTAAAAATCCTCTTATTAGATACTAAATCAAATTCTTCAATGACAATAAATGAAAAATTTCTTTCTACTAAATTTTGAAGCACTTTAGTCTGATGAATTGATGTCATTATAATTCCTTCTTTTATGTCTTCTGAGATGCATTCTTTAGGGCAATGTACTGTAAAATTACCATATATTTTAAGGTGATACAACCATTTTAAAAATCTATTTTCTGAACAAATTATTAAAGCAGGAGATGCCACTTGAATCTCTTTTTTTAAAGCAGTGAAGAAAGCAGAAACTTGGGCTGGAAAATTCATATCTACATCATGGTTTAAAATACCGCCCTTCAACTAAAAAAAAAGTAAATAAGTACAATATTTTAAGGATTGATAGGGGATGTAAATGTACCCTATTTTGATAACAGTCATATAAAAACCTTATACCAGCAAGATGATAGTTTTGTAAATTAGAAACAACTCCTGCAGGTACATAAACAGCATCTTCGACATCCCATTTTGTTAAAATTAACGAAGGCATTATAATAATTACCATACAACAATTATCAGTTATCAATTACCTAAATGACTAGCTGGTTAAATCTTGAAAGCACATACAGTGTCATAATTAAAATATATAGAACTTTTAAATATAAAATTGCTACAAACACAGAAAAACTGGTTTTATATGGATCACTTTCAGTATCTAAAAAGCCTTGCATTTTTTAAATTACAAGACATAACTTTAATAAGCAAAATAATTACCCTTATGTTTCGTCCCTTTATTGGTTACCCCTAACAGCGCTATTAGTTTATCTTCGACCTCCGATTAAAACCTTCGATTTAAAAGTGTCGGAGCCGAAGTCGGAACCGAAGGTGTAATAATAATCGGAAGTTCCGACTTAACGGAACCNTATAAAGAATAAAAGAAAATGTTTCAATTTTTCTATTTAGTCTCGCCTATTTTACATAATATAATGATTAATATTCTAAATGTAAACAAAATTGTTGCTAAATTGTTTCCTGCAAGCTATCCTGTTTGTTACACCACTGGTGTGAAGCTTTTCTGTTTTGTGGATGATGGCGCCACATACTGGAGCTTAAAGTTTTTGATTCAGTAAATGTTGACGTTTGTGAGGGTGTAGTTAAATACTCATCTGATAGCTTTAAAGCTCTTTTTTTATATAGGTGGTAAATTATTATGCTGTTTATTGAAAATAGTGTAGTGAACCCGAAAGTGATTTGAAATTGTTGCAGTGCTTAATTTGCCAACGATGCTTTCGTTTATTAATGTGACATCATCGAATAATAAAGAATCATTATTTTGGTAAGTGAAAATGTAATTATTTATAATTATGTGTACCATTTGTGTTTGAAATTTTCTTTTGAAGAAAACAATAGTGGCGCAGCTTTTCTTTTGGTCGTATTTAGGTTAGGTTTTACTATAAGGTTGATTCCTTCTATTTTGTTTTATACTACCATTTAAAAAGTTCGTTTACTTATAATAGATAAGCAGGTTGTTTTAGTAACCTTATACCTATTAGATTCCCTTTCGTAATTGTGTTTTATTGAAGTTTGCCATTGTCATAGAAACAGAATATCGACACATTTTCATTGGAAAAAAGGGCTTATATACTAAGGGATCTAAGTTGTTTTTTTATACTAAATTTACCCTAATATCCACAGATACATTGTACATATTTTTTTGTATATTGTGCGTAAAGATACATGGAATTTATAAAATTTGACCAGCAATTTTAAAATAAATCGAATTTGCAGTGGCGGGGTAAAATGATCTTCCTTAATTTTAGGGCGCACTAAGTTCACTTCTCCAGACTTTATATAATAGAGAATAGAAATTGCGAAAGCTGTTAAATCATTTACATGTAATCATATAAAGCAAACTAATATTTCAAGAACATTTAAAGTTACCTGGCATCAAGTTACTTTCTTTAGGGCTTCTTCTTTTAGATTTAATTTGGAATTTCGCCAATTTCTGAAGGATATTGCACAGTTCTTGCTTTGCTTTAATTTCCGTTTTTTCAGCAATTAGGGATAATGAAACCCATGTTTTAAGAACTTTTACGTCAGACTATAGATCTCCCCCAAATTTACCTTCCCTAATATTAAAATTTACCTACTGTAAGAATTGTTAGTCAAAAAAGTTTTGTAATAAAATGACCTAAATAAACTTCTCCTATTTATTAACTATGTAACTGCAGTTATAAAAAGAACACATACTATCAGCAACAACTAGATTTGTTTTCTTTATATTGCTCATTATAAATAACTTATCGCCGTTTTTATTTATGTACCTATTAAAATGCTTCCAGTATTTAATCGAATTTATGTACTTATTTTTACGCATTCTGTGATGGAAAATTAAATAGATTTCTTATTGTAAATTTACATTTACAAGTTTCAACATGTTCGTAAATGAATATAAAGAAATTGTGTTTGAAACAACATCCTCATATTTCGAGCAAAACTCTTGATCTGCAGAAAAGACTTTATTGTCAGGTAAATTTCACAAAAAAAAAACAGAAGAAACGAATCCAAAATTGTGCAGAATATTTTTCAAACTTGTGTTGATGTCTTTTGGGTTGGCACCTTCTGTTTCAAGAAAGACATGTTGAACATTTATAATTCTTTGCAAGATCAAAAGCATTGCTTGTCTTATTTTCGAAGTCCCCAAGCCTCCTGGCTTGAGGACCAGAGTTCCATGGATCATATGAAACACCCATATTTATGTCAATGGAAGCAAAAGCTCGTATCATTCATAATTTGACGATGAATAATGTGCATAGTATCGAAGAATTTTATTGTAGTTCAAAGCAGTAACATTATTTCACCAAATTGTGGCTTCATCAAGTGATGGTCATGAGCCACAATGTACCAAAAGAATATTGTTGCGAATTATTATATTGAAAGTCTTTGTGTTGTAAATAAAATCTTCATTTTTACTTTATTTTCACAAGTTTCAATTTGCTGCTGAAAGATAATCTCAATATTGAAGTCTACCCGAGTCGTTGCTTTAGAATTTTCAAGTTTATCTTTATCTGCATAGTTGTTAGTGGTATGTCACTTAGTTATTTTATCAATCGGGTTTGCCGATTAAGAAAGTGAGAATGTTTTTGGAAATAGACGAAATCTGCTACACATTTATACTAAATAGGATTTCTAAAGTCAACAGGCACCCATTATAAATATCTATTAAATACAAGCACGTATGAGTAAGTACATGCAGCTTACCAGGAAATAGATTACAAAAATATCGTAAAAGCCGAGTACAGTTTACGGCCAAGTTACTTTGCATATGAAAAGAGGTATCATGTAGAAAGTTCGCTCACCATTTATTATTCCTTGTTTATAAAAGGACGACGCCTTTTCGCGTGTGTTTCACTAGATGAAAAGCCCAGTTTCTTTTATGAGGGGGTATGCTTCGACTTGGGCTGCCGATAAAACTGTCTGATGTTTAGACTTAAAGAACATAAGGTAGGTGCATACATAATAAGTTCAGAGTTAAAACTATAATATTTCTACTTTGTGAGTTACTACAAACAGCGTTGTAAACGCCATCTGTAGCATATTGCTATTGGAATTCAAAAATGTTCAACAAGGTCCATTAAAGGAAGCAATGTGCTACAGATGGCGTTTACCGCACTGTTTGTACTACTTCATAAAACACTGTCTTAAGGCAAAAAGTGGAGGGGAGGTCTATATTCTGTCGAAATTGCCTAAGTTGCGCTGATGGGTTCCGGGGAGGTCGAAATCGCGATCCGCGCCCGAGGGTTTGGACAGAATACCAGAATACTAACCAGTATGAACTTTTTGTTTTATTTCTACTTTGCTATTTATTTTATTTTGTAATATTGTGAGGGTGGTGGCAAGGGTATTTGTCTAAACCTATTATCAATAGTTACTGATCGCGATTCAAAATACGCTTTTGCGACTAAAATAAAAAGCATTAATCTAAAAACAGTGACAAGACGTATTCTACAGACTTCCAGAAAAAATAATGGTAAATGTCTAGATGATGGGATCGAAAGAGGAGGTCTCCCCCACCACTGTACCATAAAAAGTTTGTGACGGTCTCACCCCCATAAAAAGTTATGGGCGTTAGATGGTGGCCCCCCACCCCCGAAGGTTAGGGGGGATCGAAAGAGAGTGGTCATGTGAGTAAAACCCTATAAAAAATTTGCGGCGGTCTCCCCCCCATAAAAAGTTATGGGGGTTAAAAGTTGATTATTTTGACAATTTTCATACACTATAATTCAAATAAAAGAGGGTGGTCACTTGAACAAAACCCGATAACCTAACCTAACCTAACCTAATCTACCTTATTGAGAAAGATATTTAAATAAGCGGGTGGAGATGGGGGATCGAAAGAGGGTGGTCACTTGAACAAAACCCGATAACCTAATCTAACCTAACCTAACCTACCTTATTGAGAAAGACTATTTAAATAATGTTTTATATAACTTTCTCAATATTTTTATGTATTTCTCATTAGTTTTACCTTTGAATATTGTTTAAGAATGACTATAAATATTTACATGCCTAGAAATGTATAAAAATTGACATATTTATTAACTTTGAACCCCCATAACTTTGTATGGGGGTGAAACCGCTACGAACTTTTTATGGTACAGTGGTGGGGAAGACCTCCTCTTTCGGTTCCCCCCACTCCCACCCCCTTCGCGGGTGGGGGCCATCATCTAGACCTTTACCAAAATAATAAACTTACCATATTAACATTAATCCACAAGTCCATGGTTTGAAATGTACCAATGGTTTTTCCCTATGTTCGTAAAATGAAAATAGCATTATTTGATGAGCAAATATTTCAATCACTTCTTGATTGAAATTTACCAATATACAATAATGTAATAGTATATGTCACCGCTAATTTTTATGCTATCGAAGATGTCATTAATATTATCAAAAACAGGATGGCATTCGGGATAGAAGTGTATGTTTAATTTTTTTTTTTAATGATAAAAGTCGTAACTGATTGTGTCATCAATTCAAATTTTTATTGTTTGTTGAGTACATCATCACTTTAAATAAATCTTGAAATTATCTCACAATTTCATTGATAATTTCGTATAAAAATTTAAATATTTTCTTCTTTCAATCGCATATTATTTAATGCATACACAATAACGTAATACATATTGCTACTTGTTTAAAAAATGCAAATGTTCTATTTTCGACTTTTCTATTTTTTGCGCGCTCTCAAAAAGAAGTATTATGGGCACATTAGCTGTTGCGTCTGCACCTCCTGCAGCGTCTAAACTGCTCATCCATGAACCTTGGGTTTATTTTTGAATGGAAAGAAACTACGGAAATTAATTGTTAAGCCACTGCTTCATGGATGATTTAATTAGCCTCTAGGGAAAAAAGTACCTATATCACAATATCCTTTGTAATTACCGCTTGTGCAGCTTTGTCATCATTCTTTACTAATTGTTTAGCAATTTTCTGTTTGTATAGGTACTCTGTTAGAGTATAAAATAGCAAAAGAAAAAAATTAAATAATTTATTAACAAATGACGTTCTTTTTTAACATTATCTATTAATAAATGCCCGGCAAGTTAAGAAAATTGTGGAGCCGATGATGGTTCTGAATCATTGTAATGCTATGTTAAGTGGTGCACCAGTTGTAAATAAACAAACATTACATTCTGATCTGGAATGTAATTACACTAAATTAAGTTGTCTTACATACGGATGCACTAAATGCACTACACTTGCATTCGAAAGTGGTGTATTATAGGTACTTTTAACGTGCTTTTGTGATAGGTAGGTACTTCGTATGTTTTAGGTTGAAATAGGTACTTGTATTATCAATAACAGCAAAAAAATAGATGGTGGTATAGATACTTGTATTTAATATCTTTACTTTAATATGCGGAGGTGCTATTACTTGCGGCAATTTACTGGAAGGAATAATTTATAACGGGCTGGAATCTATTCGTTGTTGTTGTCTTTTCCTACCGGTTGTTCGATTAAGGTCCGATTAGATTAGGATCATAATGTTACGATAAGAAAATCAACATGAACGCTAAAAGATCTTATTAATGACATCGTAAGAGTCATACTTAGAAATATCGTATACATAATTCGCTGCATAAGTTATTAGTAGATTGCTTACTTACGAAACTGAGTGTACATTCCCATCTAATCGTAAACCTTAAAAAAAAAAATGACGAATCCTTTTAGCAAACAATTATTTTATTGAAAAATTTATCTAATACGATAGGGAACATTAATACATAAATATCGTTGCTTAGTCTTTATAAATTGTAATAAAGTGACTGTAAATTAAATAAAGTGTGTCTGGAAGAGGTTTGTGTTTTATTAGAATTTTAAATGACAATTAACAAAAGAATGTAGTTGTAAATATTGAAATATACTCTTTAAAGTAAAAGGGTTACCTTCGGTCAAACAGGTAATCAATGTTTTCCGATTAAGTACCTAAACTAGTCAGGGTGGCGAAGCCTTTGTTGTACGAATAAGAAACTTTCCCTTCGATAAAGGCTATTGAAGTTCAATAAATAAATTATTTAAAGAACATATGCCGTTATGTTATCACAACAACAGTGTCTTCTAATTCAATATTTTAAACGTTTGCCAGAAAGGTGTTTGACCATATTTGAAGGCCTTCTTATAATGGGCACTGAACTCGGAGGATTAAAAATACATATACCTACTATGACTAAAAATCTCCCACAAACCTATAAGGTAATTTTAGCATATTTTTCTTTCAATTTCAATGTGCTACATCAATTTATTCACTAGCATTTGTCACAATAATTAAACCCTCCACTTAAGTCGTTATAGAACGTTCTTTTATTTTGGGCACGTATCAGGCTCTTTCCAAATAGTGTTGCGAGTGTGTGTAGGAACAAGGAACAAAAAAAAAGAATCGACCCCTTGAGACAACGCCTGCAGAGAGCAGTCGCAAATTCTACGTTTACGCAACATTTTCATTTGAAGATGAGAACCTTGACGCTGGTTAGAAAAAGAACCTTTTCCTATTTTGATAACAATGGAGCGTGCTAGAAATTAAACCAACCCTTTTTGTTCCAGTTACATAAATATATGCAGATGTATTATCGTCCAATATTAATATGTACAGTCACGTGCAATTTCTTTCCAACGATCCACTTCTGAAAAATTGTTTGGCATGTTGGGTTTCTTAAGAACTACGCTAGAGTTCTCATCTACTGACAAAATATTTAAAACAGTTTCATTATATGACAATTTTTTAGGATAATGTAGACCACTTAACGAGCTGATGCTTTTAGAGTAGATAATTATGTAGGACGATAGCACTAAAATAATTCAACTTGACTGTACGTACATGTTTCACTTTCTGTTTAATTCAGAGTGTACTTAATGGGATATATGTACGTCGAGGATGTGAAAAGGAATTGATATTTCCGGGGAAGGGTCGAAAGTCTGCCCTTGAAAATGAGCAGTAGGCCAAATTCGGCACCAAGATCGGGTACGCATAGAAGGAACGATTCTGGTAACGGTCATCATCGTCGAAGTTCATCCGGGTCCGGTCACCATCGTTCTGACTCGGCTCAGAGTTTCGACTCTGATCATCAGAAAGAAAGGAAACATGGTCATTATAGAAATCGGTCGGGAATATCTGAAAAGGTCGAGGTCAGACAAGAGCCAGTTCCCAATGGATCTCAATGTAAGACGAGAGTAGTATTTAAAGGGTGCCTTTGTTTGAGCGCAGGGACGTTATTCTTGTAGTATCACACCGTCCAAGTATGCGAGGTAATGGACAGTCACGTCCACGTCCTACAAGCCTTCTACCCAACAAACCGTTCGACACCAATCTCGATTCCCTGCAGCCTGAACGGGAACCTTTGCAATTTGACGTCAATTTGATCGGGGCTCCAGCCGAAGTTGAACAATTGGTCAATAATATAAAGCACGTTGCTGAACAGTTCCTGTATCATTGGAAAACGTTCCCTATAGGTACATAAGTCATTCTTAATGAATTAAGCGTTATCATGGACGATACATATACAGATTTCTAGTGTCTAGATTTCTGACTTGTTAGATCTTAGTCCTTTTTTCTGTAGTACTGCCGAGTCCGATATCGCAAAAGGACTCCAATCAACCTTATCAGATGTCATCCGATGGTTCGTTAGGGCGCATCAAAATGAAATACCACTTGAGGGATTTGTTTGTTGCGCCATCCTTTGATGAACTTGATGCTGTGGCTGTTGATGGTAAAGGAGAAGCAAAAAAGCTGAGTCTGAAGCAGTTGGAGTGTGTAAGGGAAAAGGGGTACGTTATTATTAGATTACTTTCTTTTGTATTAGCTACAGTTCTAGTTAAAACGATTTTGATTGTAAAAGGCTAGATAGTAACGTGGTTTATAAAGTGAATCGTTTATCTACGTGATGCAGACAAGAGACAAAAATGACGTAAATGAACTTGACATTCAAACGTTCATTTTGTAAACTGTTCAGAGTAGTTAGTTGGTAGAGATTGAGAAAAGTATCAAATTGTTAGATTGAATGGCAGTGTATTTTGTGCGTCTTTAGACAAAAATTTTAAATCGAAATTCAGGTCACGCAAACACTAACAAACTATGTTGTTCTGTAAAGCTTGCACAAGGATAAATATGGAAAACCAAAACGATTGAACTGCCAACAACTAGAATCTATAAGGCGAATAGGGTATGTCAGTGCAATAACATTTTTCTGTTAGCGTTATTGTTTTCGTTTTGTTTTAATAAAATAATTCGAAGTGGTCTGTGTTCTGTCGAAACTGCCAGACGCGGATCGCGATTTCGATCTTTGTGGATCTCATCAGCGCGTCGCAGACAGCTCCGACAGAACACAGACCAACTTTTGCCTGCTGTCTTAACAGCGCGTTTTATAAAATACCACAAATGGCGCGGTAAACGCCATCTGTAGTACAATGCTACATTTTAGGATTACGTATAATATAGTTGAGGTTAGCTACGCCGGGATTCGTTTCAGCAAGTAGATATCCATATATTTAAATGGATCTTGTTGGAGCATACGTAATCCTAAAATGTAGCATTGTACTACAGATGGCGTTTACCGCGCCATTTGTGGTATTTTCATTTTGTTTTGTTGCTTGAAAAAAGATGTGCTCTTGGTTTGTTATCATTATCTTCATTTACTTCGTTCTTGATTGGATGTTTATTGTTTGTTATTGGTTTTTAACAGGCGGAAATAATCGGAACACCGATAAAGGTGTCAGTCTCTCTCTGCTACAGTATTCTAAACAAAAACAAATGCAGGATTGGTGATTTTTTTTTTGGTCTAAAAACGTTTTTGGTTTAGGGATGCCTTTTTTGTCCTTATTTTTTTTTACCAAGTTATTTCCGAAAGTCTCTCTTGTGCATTTTACAGTAACGACATTTTACCGTATGTGTTTGTCCTCTTTACTTACTGCGGCAGCTTTGCCTTCACGATTTTTGCTTTTTTCACAATAATCGTATGCTAGAATTAAATTTTATCCTTTGCGGCGCTTTTTTTTACTTTGAAAGTTGCCAATTTATTAAAAGTTTGTACTAAAATCTTATCACCAGTACATTTAATAGTCGTAATTAGATTCGTTAAATAATAAATTGGTGACTGGGGTTCAAGTTTCTGCTGGTAACGATAGTTCTTTTCAATGGTCCCTTTTAGAGAATTCGAAGTAGATTCGTTAAACTTCCCCGGTCAACAACACCGATGGAAATTGTCGGAATTCTTACAAAAAGGCACCGTGAGAAGTCGCGACTCTCTTTTGAACGATCTGGCCATAGCTTTACGATTACTTTTAATAACGTCGAAAGGACGGATCGTGTCCCACTTTTTCAGCGTCAGACAGGCCCTCAAGGCACTCTTACAAGGCTTCCTGAGAATTATAGATCTTCTTATTGGAATTCCTAGTCTTCAAACTCAAAATTTGGACACAAAAATCAAAGAGGAAAGGTGTAAATATTTAGTCGCAGAACTTGTTTGCAGGGTAATATAATACAAGAGATTTATACTGTTCGTTCTATTGATAATCGATAATGCACACTTATAGCCAGAAAATGAAGAATCTCTGGAGCATTTATGTACATACATTCGAAGGCAGCTTCGAAGGGCTACTACAGAAAAATTTGAAGTAGGCAGAGAATGCTCTCAGCCACCTGTAGTTGTTCCTTATCGCTTCCTAACTCCATCAGGTGTTGAATTAGACTTACGATTATGGGACAGGTCTTTAATGCGTAAAGCATTACCTGTTCTGGTATCCATTTTGGAAAAAGAAACGCGCGGTTGGTTCCTCCATTTTAGAGAAAGGCTAATTGCCGAATTGAGAGCACAAAAAATGCCCGATGAAGACATCGAAAGGGTCAGTTACTACGTCAGCTAAACTGTTATACAGGTACTTATCAAACGATTTCTTCCAGGAAGTAAACGACGCTGTAATGAAGGAGTATTTGCAGAGAGTATACAATAGTATTTATGCCCATCCGGACCTCATAGCTTTAGGGGAGGGAGTGACCAAGTTGTTGGTCGAGCAAGCTCAGAGTGTTGTTTTAATGCACAAGTATTTTTTGACAGTAGGTATGGTTGATGTGTGTCTTTTTAATACATTGTCTTGCTTAGGGCTATCGAAAGTGTTCAGCTTCGTCTTTCGAAATGTCGTGACGCTATTAAAAATAGATTATGCAACACCCATCCAGTTTTATCAAGGATAGGGCCATGGTTAAGGGTAAAACTAGAAACAGCAGAGTTGAGGTTTATCCAAGAGAACCAATGGAGCGCTCACGAAGAAGCGCTGACCCTTTGTAACGCCCAAAAATTAAATCAGACAGGATACTTTCTGAACAAGGATCTAGCATTTATGAAAGAAGTACTTCCAGTTGCTACTTGCCTAAATTATAAACGATTGTATTTAATGTTATTTGCTTGTAGAGGGAGCCTGCATTATTGAGGGAATTGAGAAAAGTCAAAACGCCCACGAGAAGTTTCTTGTGGCCCACTCAAATCTGGATGCCATCCCATTGGATAGTCAGACGACTATTCCAAGGTCATTCTGAAGTTGTTCCTACGGTTCTTAGCAAGCAGGCTACGAGCATAACCACGCCAAGGTCGGATCCAAGTCAACCAGTAAGTGTCAAACTCTTCTAATTTTGTGTACAAATGAGCAAGTGTATTCTTCCTTAAGTAATTTCATCTTTTTCAGGTGTTTCTGGTAGAGAAAGAGGTCGTTCGTACAACCACGACTCGCTGGCCACTCTGGCGCATTTTCAATTACTTCCATCGAACGTGGTGTTGGACATGGAACGCCATGTTCTTCTTCGGCATCGTCTTGCCTTGGTGTAGTCCGATAGGTTTACGTGCTCTTTTCTGTATCGAGCCATTCATGGCGGATTTGGAGTTGTCGCAAATCAACGGGACCCTTTTCCCACGCAAAAGTAGTACCACTGAAACGCTCACTTCTCGACTCATAATGCTCTGGCGACATATATCAAAATCGCGAACTTATTTCGAAACGAAACCGGATACCGGGTTCATTGGGAAAGAGTTCACTCGTCATTTGAATCGGATATGGAACTACTTTTTCAAAGGTCTTTTCGGTACGATTCTTCTCGTCGTTATTTTTCCGATCGTTTGCGTCGTGGTGATAGTCAGTAGTATTTTTATTGCGTTGACAGCAGTTCTTTGGATGCCCGTTTTAACGCTGGCAATACAAGTTACGAACGCCATAATTTACGACCTGGACAGTCCGGAACCAAAGAGGAACAGGTTCTTTGTGATTTTGGAAGCCCTCGTTTGGAATATTGGTGTTCAGGGGATTGTTCAGCCGCTTTTTGCCTTGTTAGTTGCCTTCATAGTGTGCCCGCTGATTTCTCTTTTCATTTTAACAGGTAAATAAATAAAACAACTGACCATATGTCACAATATCTCACAAACTACTCTTCAATATGAAAACAATGGCAGTTACTTGCCTTTCTTTACATCATCATCATAAGGTCATCAGTCCTAAGACTGGTTGGACACGTACCTCCACTCTTTCCTATCCTGAGCTAAACTCCCTAAAACTAGAACAGCCCACATCCTTAACTATTGGCGAAGAGTAATCTAATCTAGGTCTACCTCTACCCCTCCTAACTCCTGTTTCTGCCTCTAATATGTCTCTGACTAGACCTTCATGCCTGAGAAGGTGTCCTGCCAACCTATCTCGCCTAGTTTTTCATTACATGGGACATTAATTTATGCAATAAGCAATTCTACCATCATATTTAATTTCTAAATTAGAACGTATGTTTTAGTTGGTATTATTCGCTATGGGGTCCGATTATTATGGGACACCGCAATATTCCACCTCATCATTAAGAAAAGGGGTCGCGTCCCAGCTAGTGACAGTTTTGCAGTAAAACGCGTCGCTGGGCCCGGTCTTGCCTCTGACTATTACTTCCAAATAAGACCCGAACAGGCTCTTGCAGCATTCGAGGCTAAGATTGAATGGGACGAACTGGCTGCTTATCAGAATGTCATGGAAGCCACCATACAACAACCACAGAAGGATTTTGCACAGTTTGTGGAAGCTTGTTTTGGAAGTTTCTCCGCACAACTTGCCAAAAATGGACAGTACAAAGTGCTAGAAAAAGAAGCGCAAGATCTCATGACTGTTTTGCACGAAAAATTAGAGAAAAGAAGGAGAGATTTACAGACTGGCCTTAGCGTGAGTGTGAAAAGCAAGATTAAATTAACTACATCCGAATTGAAGGTAAAAATAATGTAATATTTGCGCAGATTGTACTTAAAGATGCTTTTCTTTTCTTTAGATTGCAATCCAGCAAGGAGCGTTGATGTTGGAGCGTTACTATCCCATAAGGATACTTCCCAAGTTGGGATGTACAGAAGAGGAATTTTGGGAAAACCGTACACTTAGTTGTGGGGATTGGGCGGGACTTGCGGCACTCCTATATACTGAGTTGTTTAGCTTGGACATTTTGACGCCTTTAGATCATATGGACACCAGTTTTAGACTGGATCCAGATCCGCAAGCTGATCTGAGCAGATATTCAGAAATGGTTCACAGTGTTCAATTAGGTAAGAAGTGTGTGTAATTAAACCCACAGCGTTTATCTGCATCCCTAAATGTTTATAGGGGCAGGAGGACCTGATTTATTAGGAAATGTTTACACTCCTAGGGGCAACATACAAGTGCACAGCCCATATCTAGAAGTATCGGCGTTTAATCCTCGCTCCAAATTCTCAACTACCAGCAAAAAATCTGAAAAGAAATCGTGAGTAAAAAAAGGAAAATAAGATAATTTTCACATTAACAACTTTTTTACTTTTTCTAAATATTAGATATAGGTCTTAGAGTTTTGCTTTTTTTTATGTAAATTTTTTCTTTTTTCCAGAGAATCTATTTCAACGCTTAGTTCTCTTAAAAATAAGACTGATCAAACCCTGTGGTTACCGTGGAAGAAAAGACATCGAAAGTACGTTCCTGACAAATTGGTCATTCCCCTTCCCGTCCCACATCCAGCGCACATCGCCGTCACGGTATACAATCGTGACTCTGACGATCCTATTCCTCTGGAATCTGAAATATGCCAGGCAATTCTAAGGGGTATAGAGGACAGTCATTTATCACCTGATGATAACGGTAAAAACTTAAGTAAATACATTTTTTTTTAGAGTCATATTATGTCCAAAGATCTTAGTTTAGTTTTTTGTATGTTTTTTTTCTATAGGAATTAATCGATATCGAGGTGGTGGAGATACTTTGGACACATACAGTTCAACCAGCTGGGACACAATGGAGAGCGTGGGTGATATGGAAGATGCTAGACAGCAAACCAACGTCAATAATGATAGTCCTAAGCAGCAAATGCAACAAGATTCGGACGCAGTTTACCACTGGACATTAAGGGATTGGGGACAGCGCAAGCGCAAGAATTCAGGGAGCGTGAAAGTGGATCTAGCTAGTCCGGAAGATGTCACTTTGGACAGTGACAGTTCCCGAGTCGTTTTTAGTACGTATGGAACTACCGTATGATCTACTTTGTATTTTAATAGTAGTTATGTAATAGTAGAACGCTTTTCATGTATTGTTTTAAATTGCCCGATGATATTATTTTTTATGTAGTTACGTAAGTCCGACCGTTACGTAAATAGAACCATGACGTTAAAGTGCCATAATAACAATAATTATTCTTATTATTTCTTTTTTTTTTTTAATGTAAAATATTTTATTTACTCACTAAGAATTTTTTTTGGATATGTATAATATCCATTTTTGTATTTAATTTTTGATAAAAGAATGTTTTATAAATATGCTTAATTTTTTTCGTTTATGACTTGTTTATTTGCGATTATATTATTATATCAGAAATCTGTGATTGAATGTTACATTAATTTGGTCGAAATATTGTAGGTAGTTTATAATATACGATATAATACGATAGTGATGAATATTGAGAGTTTGCTTGTAGCTTTTTTTCACGTTGACGCATTGAATATTATTATTATTATTATT